CATGCAATTATGGAAATAAAAATTCAGCTTTCTGCGTGAACAACAGATAAGGCCTTTTTTTAGCCTTCCATGTTACTCTTAAAGATTTTAAAGCTCTCTGGAAGATTTTAGAAGAACAGAAAAAATTTAAGACTTGGAGGATTTCCTGGTAATCCCTTAATGGAAAAAACCCCAAGAAACTCTTCATTCAAGTGTCTTAAATAGTTGTGAAACATAGAGGAAAAAAATTAACTGTTTTGCAGCATTTCTTAATAATGCCCTAGGAAGGGTGTCATTCCCTTTAGCCCTCCTGTAGAGATCATTCCAAAGAAAATAGTCAAACTCAGAAATTGTCTTCTAGACCTTGCAAAGCCAGTTAAACTGAAGAACGCAGTATTAGCACTGTGGGAAAGGAAGATCAATACTGAAGTATGTAAATATTTCAGTACAGGCATAGTAGAGTTACCCATTCTGTCGTAAAGGCTGGACCTTTGCAAATGAGTCGGCAGGTCTTCACATGTGCGTCAGGCTGCGGAGAGGAGAGTCTTGAGGTCTTTCAGGGAAGATTTTTTTCATATAGAATTTCAGGGAATAATTTCAATGTAAGATCCTTTCTTTGTGTTATGATTCTGTTAAGTCAACAAGGACTAGACTTTGATCTGTGAGGAAAACAAGCTGAGACAAGTATCTTCAACTCATTTCCAACTCGTTGCTGAAGTTGTTGGTAGGTTTGGAAAGACATATGAATGCTGACAAAAAATCAACTTTATTAGCAGGGGAGGTTGAACATGTTTATAATTTAACTTAGAGAAGTTGCATAGGTTTGTCTATGTTGCCTGTTTTCCAGTTCCAAGTCTATTGCACAGCATCTCCTCAAGCAGGGTTAGCAGAGTAAACAAAGGATTGTTAGTTTTCAACATTTATGCAAAATGTTGTATTTCAAAAGGGACCCAGAAACCTCCTGGGGGTTGCTGGTCACTATAAACTATGCTCTGTGGATAGAGTTATTTCTTGTTGGAGATCACTTGTTAGTCCTGTGTTGGGTGAAAATAAATGGCCATCCTTAAAAACAACTCCTTCGCGGCACAGGTGGGTAGGGGATGTGCTCTCCTTCACTCCCCTGACACAGCTATTGCAAATCAAGCATGTAACTCCTGTGAGACCCATGTGCCCACCCTGAATTTTAGTGTTCTGCAGTGGAATTGGATCCTCCCAAGTTTGGAAGTTGTGAACTGAGACTGTGCTTTAGGAGGTCAAGATCCTGATGTCTGTGCTGTGATGGCAACGCAAACGCTAAATTGATGTGTGTGCTGGGAATCAGCTTGCGTTTCATCTTGTGCTTTGTTGTCCCTGTCTGCAGCTTTAACTGTCCAAAGTTCAGTGTATCCCACTTCTGACATTTGTAAGTAAGATATATAAGCTGTTCTGTTTAGGATTCTGTGTTTAGTTTTCTCCTCCTTTTTACCCCTCTGTTCACACCAGCTTCTCTAAATACAGTGGCATAAATTCAGGCATGATGTAAAAGACTCGTACCTGGAGGGTAAATCTGCTGGAAATAAGATTGTGCTTAATTGCAAGAACAGGGCAAATGGCTTTAAGTGCTCAGATGCAACCTTTTCTCTCTCTGTAACTCTGTAAGCTCTGTAACTTCTGCTGAAGTGCTAGTTGCAGCACTTTGCTGTTGTTGCTCTTGGCACAGATACAAAGTAAAAAGTAGTATAGAAGTGATAATAGACTGGAGTTTCTAGCAAATCTCTCTTCTTTCGTTCTGTCACTGAAATTCTGTTTGTGGCATCGTTGGGGTGAAAAGTGTCTTGCTGAGGCTTTTGTTGGCTTTTGCAAATTTTCCTAAAGAGGGTCAGGATCAGCCTGGCTGTTCTGCAGCTACGTTTCTGTCATCTTGTATTTTCCATGTATTCAAGTGAATGTATTTCATTTGTTGTTTGTTTTGGACCCATCTTGGGTCTTTGGATCTTGAAATGTCTTTTTTTCTTTTCTTTTTTTTTTTTTCCCTGGGTCTTGAGCAAGTTTCCATCCCAGAAACAGTGCTTATGTACTTAGGGTATTATTCTAAAAATGCTGTAAGATTATGTGAAAATGTCAAAGTGGAGGCTAGAAGTGGCTGTTTAATTTAAGAATCTGTGTTTGGGATTATGGTTTTCCTCCAGATAGATTAGGAGGGATAGGCACAGAAGAGTGGTCCTTAGACGTGACCGAGAATAGCTCTTGGTGGCAGGTTGAATGTCAAACCACATACTACCCAGAGGATAGGAAGGGGGAGGAAGTTAAACACGCAGTGTAAATTGCATGTAGGAAAGCCAAGAAGATAAGCGAGCGGGATGAGGTGATGAAACACAGCTGTGGTGCCCAGCTGTGCCCATCAACACGGCACCATTCTGTAATTTCGTTTTCTCCTGCAGCACTTCACTTTTTGGCCGCCTTCTTGGGGATGAAACCTAAAGCTGAGTGTTGCAGACATTTTTCTTCATATCAGGACTACTTATTCTTGAAAGAAAATTTTTTGGGGTTTGTTTGTTTGTTTTTTAACCCACAGAATGCCAGAGGTACTCACACCCTGCCCAGCAGAGTGGGTGAAAAGCCAAAAGTGTATGGGTTTTTCCTTTGATATGAAAATATTTGCACAGCTCTTATAAAGATTTAGAACTTTAGTTTCCAAGATAGCACCCCTGTTGTTAATCCCATCTGTAGTCTGTGGGATATCTCTGGTGATACACCACTAACATTTGAGGTAAAAATAGGCTCTTTTGCTGAGCGACGGTGAAGAGCAAGACTTCTGCTGTGGCTAAAGATATCACAGTCCTATTCATTTGCATGCCGCTCATGCTGACCTGTCTCAACAGCAGAAAATTCAGAGTAGGTACAAACAGATTGGGGGAGAACATTTCTTTATGCTGTGCAAAATCAGTGCTTGAATCTTCCAGGTAGATGCAATGTGAAGGTGGCATTGTGGTCTTTGGGATTTTTTTGGGGTTTTTTTAAGGATTTCTGGGTTTCTTCTAGGGTTTTTATTCACTAATCTGTGATTTAAATCAGTATTAAAGTGTTGGGAGATCAGCAGCAGTTGAGAGATGTCCCTCTGGAGGACTGTGGGGTTTTTTTATGCAGATTGATGGGGTGGTATTTGAAAGCATGACATTTTTCCTATCACTTTATGTGAGAGAAGTATTGAAATTATTGATCTGGCTCTGAACATCCATTAATGTCTGGTTAGCTTTTACAAAGGACTCTTGGGTTTTCTGTGTCTGTCATGATTTTGTTTTCTTTTCCCATTGCTAAGCTAACAATATGCTCATTTCAAATAAACGTTTTGCAATATAGGTGTGAAATGCTATCCTATCTTCAGCATCTTTAACCATCTTGCCTGGCACTTTGCTGTCATTCTCAGCTTTGCTTTCAAACCTCTCCCTTATTTTCTTCCCACTCCCTGCTAAAAAATTCAACCAGCCTTGCTGCGGGTCATGCATGTATTAAATATACCCAGACCCAGAAAAAGCCACTGCCTCCATAGCCCCATGGCTAGAGCAGGTGGGATTTAAAGTGCACACACACACACACGTGTCAAAAACTAACACCTTTGCTCCACAAAGTCTATGTTGAAGCAAAGTGGGAGGAGAGTGTCAGTCAGAGCTGTGGCCAGTGGTCATTTTCGCTTGGGAAGCAGGATGTTCAGAAGATGCTCAGAGGGCTGGAGCACCTCTGCTATGGGGACAGGCTGAGAGAGTTGGGCTTGTTCAGCCTGGAGAAGAGAAGGGTCCAGGAAGACCGTATTGCAGCCTTCCAGTGCCTGAAGGGGCTACAAGGAAGCTGGGGGGGACTTTTTACAAGGGCCTGAAGTGACAGGACAAGGGGTAACGGGTTTAAATTGAAAGTGGGGAGGTTTAGATTAGATATCAGGAAGAAGTTCTTCCTGGAGAGGGTGGTGAGGCAGTGGAACAGGTTGCCCAGAGATGTTGTGGATGCCCCATCCCTGGAAGTGTTCAAGGCCAGGCTGGATGAGGCTTTGAGCAACCTGGTCTAGTGGAAGGTGGCCCTGCCCATGGCAGGGGGGTTGGAACTAGATGATCTTCAAGGCCCCGCCCAACCCAAACCATCCTATGATTCTATGTTACCATTCACATCTGATTTAAACCCGCTGACTGCAACGAGTGCCAAGCTGTTGCCTGTTTATACATGTTTCTCTTTCATTTTCCTGTTGGAAGCTTTTCTGGTCAAGATATTTTGTAAGGTAATTCCTGATTTGTCCTCTGCATTAGATACCTGAAGCATGGCATGGAATTAGTGTACACCAGGTGGGAGCAAAAGAGCAAAGTCTTATTTTAGTTTGTTTGGTGGCAGCTGTGGAGCCTTATTAAAGCAAATTGTTTAATTTAATTAATTTCCCAACCTGAGAATGAGCCGTGTCTGCGCTCAGTAGGCAAATCTCTTGCAGAAGATGCTGGCTCAAACCACGCATGATGAGGAGAAATAGGGGTGGCAGTGTAAAGCTGGCAGAGTACAAGGGTCTATTTGGGTTACCAGTAGAGGAGCCAGGACAGTCCGTCAGCAAGCAGCCGGTGGGGAAGCAGCACAGCAGCCACCCTGCTGTCAGGAAGAGCTGGCTGGTTTGGTACCTCTGTCTGGCACCCATGTGTATCAATGGATCCCACTGGGGAGGACGGGAGGAGTGCTGGTCTTCCACTTATGTTGGGCAGCAGCTGTCTCCAAACCCATAAAGGATCTTGCTGATATCCCTGCCCCTATTTTATGCCCTTGATCTGTAAGTGATGGCATGCTGTGTTTAAACTGATTATATCTCTGTGCCTGTGTGGAACCCGCAGGGTCCAGTGTGGATGTTCCAGCCTCAGTGATTACATAAAATTATTCAAACCATTTTACAATAGATATCAATCATTGTAGGTATGGTTAGAAGCTTTTGTTTTGAACTGCTTGTCTTAACAAACAGAAGTGTTTTATTTTAATCTCTTTTTTTTAAAACAAAACCCTTATCTGCTGGCAAACAGGCATCGGAGGAAGTGTCAAAATCTCTGCAAGCAATGAAGGAAATTCTGTGTGGGACCACGGACAAGGAACCACCTACAGAAATTGTGGCCCAGCTGGCGCAAGAACTGTATAACAGTGGCCTTCTAGTGACTCTTATTGCCAACCTGCAGCTGATAGATTTTGAGGTAGGTCAGCATCCATAAGGATTTTCATCTCCTTGGTCTCAGTGTTGTTCAGTGAGGTAGAGCTGCATTTTTCTGAAGTCTAAGTAATTTTACTGCATTCAAAATTTTTTCACATGCTGGAGAAAGTAGCTTCTGTAGATTTGGTCAGTGTCCTGATAGACTTTCTCATATACTGGAAGTAAATGCAATAAACTGATTTTTTTTTTTAAATTAAAACAAAATCCCTAAAGAGATATTGCCATGTGTATCCAAAAAAGATAGGAAATGATGTTGAGAATGCTGTCTATGACTGAGCTTGTAAGCTGCAGTGATGAACTTCTTTGGAATAGTGTGGCTAGAGCCAACCATCATCTCTGAAAAGTGTCTGATTTAGAAAGGGTCTGGGGACACGGAAAAAACATAATTGGAAGCATGGAAAAATCTCATGTGAAAGAGACTGAAAAAAATCAGGATGATTTAATTCAGAGGAAAGGAGTTGAAAAAGGTATTAAAAACTGACAGCAGGTGGTAAGGTAAATTGGGTTGCCCACACTTAATTCTTTGGATGAAAAGAAGAAAGGAATATAACTTTTATTACCAGCAGAAAGACTAATGTGAATATGTATATATATATCTATATTATTTATCTTTATACATTTATATATAGAATTATATATTCCGTGGAACTCCTTGGCAGTTTTGTCTTTAAAGCCAAAAACTTAGTATACAACTACTAAGACAACTGAACTTCTTTATAAATAAGGAGAAGAGCTGTGGTAGAAGAGATTGCAGTCATTCAGGATAAATATAAACCCTTTTAATTGACCTTTGACTGCTAAGGACTGGGAGGAAACTTCGTCACTGGCAGGTCATTATAGTATTCCTGTGGTCTGTGGTCAGCTTGGGACAGCAGTCCCCAGGGACTGCTGTCAGGAGTCCTGTGATTTCTATGGCTCCCAGGGACTGGTGGATCTTCACAAGTATCTGAGCATCTCTGAGAAGTGAGAAATCCCCAGCTCTCAGCAGTAAAGCTCCGCTGGTGAGGTCTGAAGCAGGGGCAGTACCCAATGGATGGGGCAAGGCGGCCGCTGAATATAAAAATCAGCTCCTCAGAGAGATCGTCTGATGATCTCAGAGACAGCTTTTGTGGGAGTTGCTTTCCTGTGGAAGATTTCTCCCCTTACTAAGGTTATTTGTTGTTACTTTACTTTTCATTTGGTAAATGAATGAAAGGGAGGAACAATGGGAGATTTATGATTTCCTTTCCCCACTCCCAGTGAAGTCAGGTTTCAAGGGACTGATCTATTTATTTTGTATTAACTTTTGAAAATGTTAGTGGAGTTCTTTCACTCTTCCTCAGGTCTTAAATTCAGGAGTTGTCTTTTTTTAATGCTAGAATATGTTGAGTTTCTTTCATTTGTCTTCTCCCTGCCATCCCTTGTTACTGTTAAATGTCTTAATTAAAAAAAACCTAAAACAACAAACAAAAAACCCAACAAGCTACCTCCCTAAAAATCCAGTAATCTATTTGTTGTTAAGAAAAAATGAGAGGGGGAGGAAAAGATACTGTTAGCAAATACACCACAGGAGGGAAACTACTGTATTTTTTTACCTACCCGACAGTCTGTATTGCTTTTGTCAGACAGAAAATTCTGTGTGGGCATATTGAACCCACAGTCTTCAAATGCAAGCACTGAATGAAATACCTAATCTGTCGCTGAATTACTGTTATTACAAACAGTTCTAATAACTCTTACTGCAAAATAGATTCTTCTATGATAAAACATTTAACAAAGCTGCCATACGTACTTTTTTGGCAAAACAGTAGAAATGAGATGTCATTGAACAAGAGGATAGCAAGAGCATGTGCTGCTTTGTCTTCACATTCCCACTGACTTCTGCAGTTTGTCAACTTCCTTCCATTTTGTTATATTGGAGGCCACAGTTGGCATTTAGGTTTCTTTGTTGAACAATTTCATCCCTTTATAACATGCAAATTAATTTTTTGATCCGTATGGAATGGTAGAAAGCAGAATCATGAATTACTTGAAAATCTGATTTCTGAAGGGAGTAATGTTTATGTAGGTTGCTTTGTTTTGTCCTGACTCCCTGCCTCCTCCTCACCAACCCTCCTGCCCACTTTCATCCCAGTTTTGCACAGCTATGCTTCCCTTGGAAGATGTGTTTTCAAAGACTTGATGAAACTTGAGGAGGAGAGAGACCAGAGTTAATGCCCCCAGCTGAGAAAAAGGCAGAAGCACAGTCTCGAGTCCTGTGTCCCTTGTGTTTCGTCTGCCGGTACACTTACAGCGCATGCGGCTGGGGGGCTGCGGGTGCGTAGGGGAGACTTGCACACGCCTGTGGAAAAAGGGTTTATTGCTTCTGCTGCTCAAGAAACAAGATAGAGTTTTGATGATGATATTGTTATGAAGCAGTAAAGTTGGGTTTGGGCAGGAGCCCAGAATCAATATCAGACTAGAGTATTTTTTAAAATTTTAAATATGAAATTTCTTGTTGAACTTTGAACAACGGACGAAAGTGCATACAGAAAAAGTCAACTAAAAAAACAGATGTTACTAACTGTGCGTAAGCCTAGAGGTTCACAAGCTGTAAAGCTACTAAAAGAGGCACTAAATAGCCAGCCACAAGCCCAGGACTGGTGACGTTAGAAGCTTTCCCTTACTTCATCTTGAAACAGGAGCTCAGTGATGGTATAGGTATCGTGCAGTTTGTTATTTATATAATAGCATCCTCTGCAGGTTTTTGTTCTTGTCTAGCAACTTTCTCTCCACGCTGCCTTCTCTTGGGTTTCAGTGGCCATATGTATTTCATTACAAGGCAAAAATGAATTGCAGATCCAAGTAAGAAGCGTTGCAAAAGTATTCCTATGATTTTTATAGACGTCTGGTAGTGAGGGAAGTCTGCCTTGGTTCCCTCCTATCTCTTTCCAGTCCCTCCAGGAGAACCCAGAAAGACTAACTTCTCTGGATTTCACCGTTGCTGGTCGCTAGAAAATTGGATATAGTTGGATATATATAGATCTCCCCTCTGAGATATATATATTCGTGTGTGTATATATATTCTCTCTGCTATTGGACATAATGCTACAGTGCACCGACAAGTAACTAGTATAAAATCTGGCATAGCAGAGAGGATCACTTAATTTTTGGCCATTTTCACCTTGCCCTTTCAACAGCTCTTTTCTGTCTAGATTGTTTTTGTCTCGGAGTAACTGCTGAAGCCGCTGGGAATCACAGGATTCCAGACATACGTAATGGGTGTTGTAAAGCTAGGGGAGAATGGGATGACTTTATAAAGAATTAACCTAATTAAAGGAATGTCCTAGGGTCAAAAGTGTTGCAGACAAAGGCAGATGGACTGGCCTGCTCTGATTTGATTCTCCTATTTAATTCCCCAAGTCTCCAAGCCAGCTGGGTTGGAACGAGTAGGAAAGCAGAATATTTTGTGTTTCTCAGCAGTGATTTATTTGTAGAGGTGAAACCAGGGAATTTGCCTCTGTGTGAAACTATCTGCTCCTTGGCTTCAAACATTCAGTAAGTTATCCACCAAGGAATGTTTGTACTCTCGAGACACATCAATGGGCACGCACAGATTACAAGTAACCTTTTGCTTTAGCTTGCCCTGTGCATAGTGACCTGCTGTTGACTCAGTGCCTTGGTTACTGGTCGTTAGTGCAGTGGTCTCCCCCGCTCCATTAATTTCACACATCAGTTTGTCTCCTGTGGCCAGAGGAGAAAGTGCTGGGCGGAGGAAGAGGAGTTCTAATGCAAGACATATTGACAAACCCCATTGCTGAATAGAACATAATTTGGAAAGAAGCTCTGAAAAGCTGTTTCCGTAGGGAAGCATTCAAAGACAAAACATGATTGTGCAGGTACATCAATACAGGAGAAAATTGGGTCAAAGTGAGGAATCTTGGTTGTGCCTGAAGGAGATAGATGTATATGATGCAGCTGTTTTATCACAGAACCATAGGATGGTTTGGGTTGGAAGGGACCTTAAAGATCATCTAGTTCCAACCCCCCTGCCATGGTCAGGGACACCTTCCACTAGACCAGGTTGCTCAAAGCCTCATCCAGCCTGGCCTTGAACACTTCCAGGGATGGGGCATCCACAGCTTCTCTGGGCAACCTGGTCCAGTGCCTCACCCCCCTCTCCAGGAAGAAATTCTTCCTGATACCTAATCTAAGCCTCCCCACTTTCAATTTAAACCCGTTACCCCTTGTTCTGTCACCATGGAAAAAGTGGTAAAAAGTCCCCTCCCAGCTTCCTTGTAGCCCCTTCAGGTACTGGAAGGCTGCAATATGGTCTCCCCGGAGCCTTCTCTTCTCCAGGCTGAACAAGCCCAACTCTCTCAGCCTGTCCCCATAGCAGAGGGGCTCCAGCCCTCTGATCAGCTTTGTGGCCTCCTCTGGACTTGCTCCAACTGGACCATGTTCCTCTTATGTTGTGGGTTTCACAGCTGGGCGCAGCACTCCAGGTGGGGTCTCACCAGAGCAGAGTACAGGGGCAGAATCCCCTCCCTCGACCTGCTGGCCACACTTCTCTGGATCCAGCCCAGGATCCGGTTGGCTTTCTGGGCTGCCAGCGCACACTGCCGGCTCATGTTCCGCTTTTCATCCACCAGTACCCCCAAGTCCTTCTCCTCAGGGCTGCTCTCGACCAATTCTTCACCCAGCCTGTACTTGTGCTTATTTGATTCTTCATGGTGAAACGATGATTGCAGTTTTCAATTTAATCCTGATTTTCAAAAATGCAATCCCACTTGATGTTTGTTGCATTTGAATAGTGAAAAGCTTTAGCTTTGTGAGTCTGGGCTATAGGGTAGTGTACTTGGTACTAGCTGGACAACTTAAATTTGGAGGCTGTGGGAGCAATAGTACACACTGCAAAAGCATGTTTGGCTCAGAGTAATGGCTTGCTTTTTTGATACTTTAATGTTGCTGTTTAAGATAGCCAGGGACTTGATGGACAGAATAAGGGGGATACACATCTTCATTTAGAAAAAGAAAGGTGTAAATGGGAGTGGGGGCATCATCAGTCTTCAGAGCCACCCAACTGAGGAAGCCTTCTTGTGGCATTGATGAAACAGCAAGTATGAGGTGGTGGGACTGTGGAGAGCCCAAAACCAGAGACTGACTGACTTGTTTTGTTTTCAGTTTAATTTCCACTTTAAATAGAGATTATACTAAATAGTCATTTGCTCATGTTTTTCCAGTTAAAAGATATATTTTGCTTCTTTAACAGGGCAAAAAGGACGTTTCCCAGATATTTAACAACATCTTGAGAAGACAAATTGGCACACGCAGCCCTACTGTGGAATACATTAGTGCCCATCCACATATCCTATTCATGCTTCTAAAAGGGTGGGTGCTTTAATTTGATTTTCATTAAAGAGCATTGCCTGGAACATGCTGGCACTGCAGTTGATCTACTTTCTCACTTTTATTAAAACAAAAAAAGGGGATTTTCAGATTTTGATCTAGACTTCTTATTTTGTTTCTTTCATACTGACTTTCTTTCTCCTTAACTGTATACTTTTTAATGACTGGATTATTTTATTTGGCCGTTATTTCTTCACCAAACTTCATGTTGGAATGATTATGTGCTGATTGTTTTTTGACTGCTCCCCATGTGATGTGTACTTCCTTTCTTGCCCTAAACTCTTGCGCAGCGTTGTTGACGACGGCTGGGTTTTGTTTAGACCTTTTTGCATTGCAGGAGTGACTTAGAGTGGTGTCTGTAAATAACTGGAGTCAAATGCTGGACCACCATATGGTAGAACAGAGGGAAGGAAAAATACATAAAAAGAACAGTTATGTCTGTGGGGCAGACTTCTCCAATGCTTGTAGCCACGTGTTAACTTCACCTTTAAATTAATTCAGTAATGAACTCCACAACTTTCAGCAGTGAATCTTTTTTCTTTTTTGTCTTTTCACATTTGGGGGAGTCCGTGCTTGGCTGTAAGCTGGTGGTTCCCAACGTAGGTTGGCCAAGGAGGGGGAGTAGACTGCTGTGTGGAGAGGACACCAGCTGTAGTTGCATTTAGGAGTGCACAAGTGTTGGCTTAAAACTCTTCATGTTTCTTTTCCTCTTTGCTTTTGACTAAAAGCACCTTCCATTCAGCGAGAAGCTTTGCTTTTCCAGCCCTTGAAGTCTACTGTTATCTGCTCAGTTTTCTGTGGTTTGGAAAACCACAGAAGCCAAAGCTTTAGGATTTTGTTTGTTTTTCCCTAAGGCAAGGAAAATATATGTGATTTGGATTAAAGAACTGATGTAAAGTGCATTTATTAGCTGATCAGTGTGAAACAACGTGGACTCTCATAGCTCTATGGTCACACTAGTAACAGCCATTCAAATCCATGACATAAGCCTTTTAAACTAATGGTCCTTAAAAGAATGACCTTTTTTAAAGTGTCTTTCTTGCTCTTGAGGTTGAAGATTTGCATTTTTATTATTTGCTTCACAGCCATAGTTAGGAAAACTTTTAAGCACCATCCAAGGTTTGTGCATGACAAGGCTGCAGCCCCAAGGATAGAATTCCCTTCAGCCAGCGTCCCCTCTCTCCCAGGGACAGACCCGAGCCAGGAGAGTGATAGGCACTGGAGTCCTCTAAAGCAGTTATTTCCTTCAGATTTGGCCACATTCCAGCACAGCTGAGTAGGGGAAACAAGTAACCGAGAACTAGTCAGTACAGGGGATTTCAGGAACTGTGAGCTTGTGGTTGAACGTGGTGGCATAGCTCCTGGTTGCGGCGATAGGAGGAGGTGCGGACCCGCTGCCCTCCTCGCAGGCTGGGTGGTGGGGAGCCCGGGCAGGTGGCTGGGCTGAGCTATGTCTTGCTTTTACAGGTATAGTGATTTGTTGTGATTTAGCTTTTTTGTTTGGAAACTCTTGACTTGTTTTGTGTCACTCAATGCCAGCTTCCTCAGAAAGCTAGTTACTGGGATTTTGGTTTCATTTGTTTATTAAAATTCACCATTTGTATAAACCTCAAACTAGTCATTTCGGGACAGTGATGATAATTCGCACAGTCGTCGTTAAGTTGTACAGCTGTCTTAAATTTCCTATATAGATACAATTGTTTTCTTCCCTTCTCTCTGTCTTTGCTTTTTCGATTTTTCACTCATTTTGGTTTTGCATGTTGTGCATGTATCACTACCATATGTCTGAGCTTTATTTAAAGCTAAAAAGTATTTTTGGATCATGTCCCAGATATTCTTTGGCATCTGTAACAACCAGGAATATTAACGTGATAGTAAAGATTTCGTTACGTGTATGTGCTGCTGACAGACCTTTACCCATGTAGGTGACCTGAGCCAGTGGATGTGCTTAAATGGCACCACTTAAGTGCTTTTTTGGAGATAGCTGCTCCATGCAGCAGCGTTCTCGTGTTAGTTTGGTCCTCAGGCTCCTTGTTCTTCATTTCTTGGCAATTTCTCTGCAGCACTGCGCTGTATCAGAATGGATATCTGGAGGTGCTTGTTAGAAGGTGCTGTTGAATTCATCAGCAGTACTCCAGAGGACAGTCCTATCCAGCCCTGAGAGCATCTGAGCAGGTGCTGCAGAACAGAATAGCGTAGTGATGTCAAACGCGATCCTGCCTTACCTGCCTATGCCCCGCTGCTGGGACTGTCTGCAAACAATACCCAAAATACGTGCTAACAGCAAGGGTAGGGCCCTGAACACGCAGCTTGCCGCGTGCAGGCAGCGCGCGGTGCTAGCATGCAGTCAGCTACGAGACTGGGAAACGCACACGTTGTGTTAGACACTGCCGCTGGAAAACATGACTTGAGGACACGTTTTCGTATTTATTTAATGCTAAATTAAATGTGTGAAATCAAAATCTGCTTAAAGGAAAGTGGATCTAGCTGGCTTGTACCATTCCATGTTTGTTACATGACATTATCTGGAGAGAAAAAAAAAACAAACATATATTTCTACCATGTCTAGAAAAGAAAGAGCCCAGGACTGTTGTAAAGACTTCTCATTGTTTTGCTTATACTGGATGCAAAATTTCCTCAGCCCCCTGACAGTGAGTTCCCAACAGCATCAATAAAAGGTTGCTTTTTCGTTGCATAATGTGAGCTCTGTTGAGTGGGAAGGATCCTGAATCATGGGAAGGATCCTGAATCAGAGCTCCCGCCCAATGTTTCCTGCCTAATACTCCAGCGGCGCTGCCAGCTTGAGATAACTGTTCTTACCTTTTAGGCATCGTTTCACTTGTTGGCTACTTCCTTCCAGCTTCTCAGCTCCAGGAGAACATACAGCACATAGTTCACTGCTTTTTTTTTTCTTCTTTTTTTCCCTTTTTTGTTTTGTAGGTTACTGGACCTTCCTGCTGCATGAGGGCTTGCTTTAACAGCATCTTATTTTCTGTGTGTGCAGGCTTCGTGTGTGAGCAGGATTTCAGAGGAATATAATGTTTGGTGTATATTGAGTTCCAGATATACTTGGGCCAGATTTTTTCTCCAGTGTCAGCGTATTGTATTAGCCCAGAAATAACTTTGTTCCTTAGTCATTTAAAACATTTTCCCTCTACTACAGTGACTGTAGAGGACTTGAAGTTTGTGGTACTTGCATAGTTTCCCACAAGTGACAAATTCATAAGCTGCTTTGTGGATATATATCATGCCACATGCTATCCCTAACATGCTTAGTCGCTGCCCCGATCTGTTTTGTAATGACCTTTTCGTATCGCAGTGCAGTTAAAGCTTTAATGGTATATTGGCTGAAGCTGCAGAATTCTCCTTGAGTTTATCCAGGGATGAACTCAGGGTACAGAAGTTAGTGTAAAATCAGATCAGTATATAGCTGTGAGCCCAGACCTTGCGTCTCCCACGCTTGATGCCTTCCTAATCTACTGTCTCTGCCCCTTACCTGGTACCATCCTTTGCACCAGCCATGCAGGTGTGATTCCCTTTGCACTGAGATGCATCTCTGCTCAGTCTTGCCTCTTTCAGCCTCCCACAATAAGGGTTTTGAAATATTTCAAGTCTCTTATTTACTTTTCTGGTTGCCCCCCATAGGCAGTATGTAGGGGTTTCTTTAGTTTGCAGGCTCATCCGAACAGAGAACAACACAGTGTTTTTTTTCTGCTGGGAGAATACCCCAGCAAAGAGCCCTAATTGCTCATTAGAAGTGTTTTTGAAACACATTTCTGTCATTCCTGCCTGGTGGCTTTGCATGTAAGTGTGGGTGCAGAGAACATGCCAGTTATGACTGGACAGCCTGTAAACTTCTTCCAGGCATATTCCAGGAGCCAAACCCAACTTCCCTCGCTTATGTGAACAGCCAAAGGTCCATAACCCACTTCCAGATAATGGAGCATTTGACTGAGAATGATTCTGTTCATACTTATGTTTTAAAAAGTTATTGTGCTGGAAACAATGTAATTTGCTTTTATTCCAACCAAAATATTCCTTAGCCAACTATTAAATATTTTCCTGGCTGCACTCCTAAGAGCAACTCCGCCTCTTTTTCCTTGAAAATTAGTATTCCTGTTAATGGAGTCGAGGAGAGGTATGCCTCAACAGGAAACAATCAGTGAATCTTGTCTAAAGACTTACAAGTTTACATTTGCAAATGTTTCCCAAAAGGAAACAACCAGGGGCTTGAGCGCCTGCATTTCCTTAAGGGTGGGAAGTTTTCATTTGCCTGTTTGGAATAGCAATTCATTTTTTCATTAAGCCAACTATTGTTGACATCAGGTTGAAGTATGCAGCTGTGGTATGCTCGCAGAACGCTACCATTCTTTTAAATCGCAAGCTGGTGGTAAATTTGAGGGCCCACTCACTCACAGCACAGATGGCATTTTGTGGTTTTCTTTTTCTCTTTTTTTTTTTCTTTTCTCTTTTGGCCTAGTGATAGGAATTAATTGTGCAAAGGAAAAACGATGCTGATAAGCTCTGGGTGATAATACACAGTTCTGATATAGTATAACCAGCTTATTGAAACAGAGTGTGCTTTCTGTCCCCTTGGAATTCACTGCTTTCACATGACTGAAGGTTGCTGGAAGAAGTTGATTTTAAGTCTCTTTACTTTTTTTTTTTTAATTTATTTGTGCTTCTAACAGTTTTGTTTCAGATTAATTTCAGTTTTAAAGAAATCAAGACTTTACAGAAACAGAAGATGATCTGAATTGCCTCCCCCCTCCCTCCCTCTCCAGGATGGAGAAGTGTGCTGTCTCCTGGCTATTGCAATGCGTGTGCCATAACAGGATTGTAACTTGAGGAGCAAATACTTGTCTCCTGAGCAAAGCTGTAGCCTCTGCAGAGGAGGGATTGGGCTGAATTCCTCCTGAACTGCAAAAAAGGACTTTCACAGCTTAATCCTGTGTAGACCGCCTGGATAGACTCTTCTTACCTTCCTCATTAGACATTAATATTCTAGAGTGATGTTCTCTAGGAGAGGAGTGGGAGGTGGTGGATGGTCATGAGGAGTTGTGTTTTTCTTGGATAAACTGGGGAGCTCAGAATTAAATCATACAATGAATCATAGAATGGTTTGGGTTGGAAGGGACTTTAAAGATCATCTAGTTCCAGTCCCCCTGCCATGGGCAGGGACACCTTCCACTAGACCAGGTTGCTCAACACTTCATCCTGGCCTTGAACACTTCCAGGGACGGGGCATCCACAATCTGAAAATTGATGTATTGTATGGGCTTTGCTTTCTCATAGATCTAAAAGGGTGACGAGCTCCGTTGAAACGTTACGCGCTCCCTGTGGTCTTTCCGCAGAGAGGAGGCGTAATGCACACGTACACAGAAATGTGTTTTGACTTGCGAAGGGAGGGGTTGACGACGGGAAACGCTGGCAGCCTTGTCTGTGCGTCTGCTCCTTAGCTGTGGGCCGGGGTCCTGAAGCTGGGTACAGTGCTGCGGCTGGGAGCTGCCCTCCTCCTGTTGTGCCCCCTCCAGCGCATGCGTTCCCTATGCTACAAAGTTCCCCGTTGCTGGAGAAGTGCCCATTTGTCCTTCTACATTTTGATCTTTCCTGTTTCTTTTTGTTCTTCAGGTATGAATCCCCAAATATTGCCTTACGCTGTGGAATTATGCTGAGAGAATGCATCCGGCATGAGCCCTTGGCCAAAATCATACTTTTTTCAGAACAGTTCAGAGACTTTTTTAAATATGTGGAAATGTCAACATTTGATATAGCTTCTGATGCCTTTGCCACATTCAAGGTAAATTATTCACACCCTGCATCATAGTTCTGTGTGAAAAATGGCACTCCAGCAGTAAGTCATCACGGAATATCGTGTTGCCTTTGAGCTGGGCAGCTTTTTTTGTAGTTCAGTAAAGGATATAATTAATCATTTGTATGTCTGTAACAGGATTCACAACAGTGATCAAGTCTGGAAAGAATCTATAATTCAATACAGACAGTGCTAAGGGCTGACTAGGTGAAAGCACTGCGTAGACCCTGTAGATAGTCACTGTGCTGTGTTAAAATGAAGTTGGGGGAAACTTGCCAAATTTCTGGGGGTCTGTATGTGACCATCGTCTTTCCTGCAAGGTGCTAGTATGGTCTTTGAGCAAAATTTGGTGCCTGTGAGCTTAATGCACAGGGAAGATCAGTTTATTTCTGAAAAGTAATTTAAGCAAGCTGGGGAAAATTCTTTTCAGGTGAAGACTTTTCTAAATATAGATGTAACTGCTTTTTTCTTCTATCTCTGAGTCCCTTGCTGTCATAGAAACAAGTTGTTGATTCTTTTCCTCTCAAAGCTAATTAGAAACATGATTAGATAGACCTTTGGAGTGACTGTGAGGAATGTTAGTTCAGCTCAGCCATTCAGTGCATAATGAAACCCTGCCTTGGTTTTTACTGGGTGGGGTAAAGATTCACATGATGGAGATAACGTGTTCTTCGGTAATGAGTGGGGCAGGATTACTGATTCAATGGCAGCATTTTTGCAGTATTTCAAGTTGCACTGTCATGGTGTTCATTACATAAATATTATGAAAGTGGAAGTAGCACAGAGACGCAAGTGAAAGTACAGTGTAGGACTATACAAAAATGCAACATAAATGAGATACTTAAATCCCCTGTCTCTGGCATTTACCCTATGCTCGGAACAGTTTTTGTCTCTGGTCAGCAAAACTGCTCCTGGAGTTTGTTCCCAGCTTGACAGAAAAGATTTGCATCTTTCCCCCAGGTCCTGCTTTCAGCAAGACAGCAGAGTGTGTGGTTGGTGATGGATAGCCGTCAGCCCAGCCAGGAGGCAGGATGGGGAGAAGGGTCAGTTAAGCTGTGGCAGGGACTGCAGACTGCTGTGACCCTCCCTGGAGAAGAGGGATAGATGTCATTCACGGATCTACAGCTGTGGAACTTAAACTCGGATCACAGGAGGCAGAAGTATTTTTAGCAGGATTTAAAAATAGGATTCTACATCCTCACGTGCACTGCAAAGAGAAGAGTGTGAGGGTGGTTCATCCTCAGACATAGGGCAGAAATCACCTTTTAAAATGCTTGGGGAAAATCTATAAACTGCATTTTTAAAAAATTGCCTCTTATTTTAAATTTCTGACATGATGCATGGTCAGTTCTGGAAATAAACCAGCTGTTCATCTCCTCTCCTGTTTGTTAACGCTGGAACAGCACGAATTGATGTGAAAGTGGCTGAACCACGAAATGTGGAACTACCTCATTTCTAATACTGTAAAACTCAGTGCTGTGATTGCTGGCTGGCTGGCTTACTGAACACGTGTTTTCAGTTCTCTTTCCCCCATGTTGGGTTTGTAGTGTTGCCCCCAGGATGTCTGGTTCAGAGCCGAAAGCCTTGGATAGTCTGTGTGCCAGAGGAGGGCTAATTACACGTGCACTGAAGTCTAAGGATATTTATCGTAGAGAAGTATTGGAATTTTTGATGATCTGGGGATGTTCTCCTTAATTAAATTCAGCCAGGTGCACTGCAGAGAGGAAACAGGGCTGCTATAAATGCAGAGGAAAGCAGCTTGTATTTAGAGACACAGTTGGCTGTGGAGGGGTGAAAGAGTGCTGATTGAATACTGCTGCTCCGTGCTCTCCCGTGATTTTCTATGAAAAACTCGTTTTGGATTATATTCCATTTGTGCCCCCTATTGAAAAATGTTGCACTTGCCTCCGAAGCGCCCCGTATAAAAACTTGTGAATCACGTTTGTTGCGCTCAGCCTTTTAAGCTGCTATTGTGGCAGTCCCGCTAAATAGAGGAATGTATTAAAAACCTGTACTGGATTTTATAGCGCTCGGCTTTTCTCTTATAATTGATGACAAAAATAAATTAAGGATTAGTATGTAAAGGATTTCTTTCATCTGTGATGCTGTAGAGGATGTGCCTGGGCATCTGCTTCAGCTCCTCATCAGCTTCAGTCTCTGACTGGGTAAGGAAACCAAGGAAAAGATGATAAGAAAAGGCAGCAGAAACTGATTCACTGAAAAATATTGACTTGAATGGACTTCATCAGGCATTTATTGTGATCAGTGTTTTATTTTAAGAGGCAATAAGATAAACTTAAATGCCTCAGACTGGCCACTTCATTTCACAGCTATTCATCCAGTGAAGAGGCTTGATTTCTTCTGGATCTGAACATCTGCATCTCTGTCACTGAGCACCAGCATTCCCATTCTGTGGGAGAGGTTGCTTTAATTTAAATTTGAATTAGTTGGCCTCTTAGCATGGGAGGCATCCCATCCAGCTCTCTGAACGGTGTGCTACTGCTGAAATCCACCTTGGGCAGAATGCTGCTGAAGAGATCCAAGCTACCCGAGACCTCAGAGAGGGAGTGGCTGTGGAGGGAGCCTGGATAGCTAGTTTGGATTGGTGCCTAACTTTTACGCTTTAAATTAATAAAGGTATATATAGCGGTTGAATTTGAGTCTTTATTGTTGTATTCTTGGAGATGAGCAATAGCAGTTGATCCAGCTTAGTGTAATCTCCAGCTGTGAGGTAGCAAGTAGCTCACTTTTGGCTTTGGGACCACAGCTGATCCCTCCATAAAGGGTTAATTTCTTTTCTTCCTTTTCCCTACCCCAGTTTATTCAAAGTACTGTGCACTGTGACCAGTGACCGTAAGAAAGGGTGGGAAGGAAAAGGAATATAAAGGAAGAGTGTTAGAATAGTTTGATATTCTGTTAGCATTAACTGAGTTCTCCTTAAAATCCTACAAAACCCACAATGCAGTATTGTTTCTAAATGTTTTCTATCTATGGAAATCATGTTGTAAATACTTTCTAAAATATGACCTGTTACAAAAAAAATGCTAAAATGCATTTGAGAATCAAGGGACAATCAAGTAAGCATGCTTTCTCAGGTAACCTTTCGCTGTTCTTCCACAGGACCTGTTAACACGACACAAACTGTTGGTAGCAGAATTTCTGGAACAAAATTATGATGCAGTAAGTGTCAATGCTAGAAGAGTGTGTGTGTGTGTGTGTGTATATATATATGTATATATGTATCTTCGTGCTTAGCTGGAAAAAGTATGCTTTCGATAGCAGAGGGTTTCATGCTCTACATGAAATAGTCACATAGGACTGCAAAATCAAACATTCCTTTTACTAAAGCAGAATCCTGGCACGGCATTTGAAATACAGGTACCCCCTCTGCAAACCCCTGGGGACACGCGCCAGGGTTTGAGGAGAACTCGTAGCTTAAAAGCAAGTTTTATTCCTCTCTGCGTGCATTGTGTCTCCTGAGATGTGAATGGAACAGTAAACTTTGCATGTAAATAGATCATGGGGGAAAAA